CTAATTTCATATGTAAGGACCTAATATAATATAAAATATTGTTTTTAACTTTTAGGTTTTGTTAACTAGTTGATTTGAAGTTATTTTGATATAGCTTTGTTTATTCGTTTTCATTTGTTCTAAAAGTGTTACATTACTGAAATTTCTCGATTAAAATAAATTAAAAATAGAAACAATATGAATATATAAGTCAGTAAAGTTATAGACATGATATGATTATTGCATTTTCAGAGAGAACAGCACTCTCTAAGAGTTCAAGACCAAATAATCTGTAATGAATAGATATTTTAAGTCACAATGTGTAAATCATAGAACGAGTAAACGACATAATACAATTTATAATTATACTTTTGTTGTCATTGTTAAAAAACTTATTTGCTATAATATGACAATAATCTGCTTGAAAGGTTTAAAGGATAATAATAGCAGCTTATATACATCAGTATTTATACCTACTTATCTATACGTGGTAGAGCCATGCAGCAGCTATATTATGGTTGTAGCACGAATGGGTCGGCTCGACCGGGGAAGGACCACGCTCTCACAGAATACCAGCGTCAAATAGCAGCTTAATGCTGCTATGTTTCGTATGGTAAGTGTAGAGAACCGGAGACCCTTTTTACTGGAAACGAGGCATTCCATCTTAGTCATCACGGGTGACAACGCATCTGCATTTTCATTCGTAATTGAAGATAGATGTAGATGTCTATGGGTCACAGCAACCACTTACCATCAGGTGGACTGTGTGCTTGTTTGTCACCCTTATCCTATAAAAAAAACTACACCAGACCCGGTACCTTGTTGATGAACGAAGGAGTAATTGCTTATATATCACATTTTTTTAAAAAGTATACCCTCATAGATCCTTACATGTTAAACATACATATTACGTCCACAAGATACTTGGGAATTATAGTTGACGACTGTTTAACTTGGCATTCACATATTGAGATTGTTACGTCACGGGTACGCCAATTTATATGGATTTTTTGTCACCATTATCGTATAAAAAAAAAAACTACACTAGACCCGGTACTTTGTTGATGAACGAACGAGTAATTGCTTATATATCACATTTTTAATAGAAGTATATCCTCATAGACCCTTACATGTTAAACATACATATTACGTCCACAAGATACTTGGGAATTATAGTTGACGACTGTTTAATTTGGCATTCGCATATTGAGATTGTTACGTCACGGGTACGCCAATTTATATGGATTTTTAAAAATCTAAGATATGTGATACCTCAGAAGACACTCAAAAGCATCTATATTGCGCTCACTTAATCAGTTCTTACATTTTCTGCCGACTCCCAAAAAGGAGACGGTACTCAATTCAACGCGTATGTTTTTTTATGTGTGTTACCTCATAACTTTTTACTGGGTGAACCGATTTCGATGATTCTTTTTTTATATGAAAGCGGATACTTCTCGTGTAGTACCATATGAATTTGATCAAGGTCAGACCAACAGTTTTTGAGTAATTTGAGTTATTCTAAATAATTTATATTGAAGTCGTCTGTACAAAATTTTTAATTTTAAATTATGTTTATCAGTCTGGGCAAGAGCCACTAAAACTAAATTTCTTGAGTGAGAAAAAGAGCCCAAATTTTTATAAAAGTAATGCACTATAAACCATACAGATACCCCACCGTCGATCTATGTAGAATCAGTGGCTTGCTCTCAGTTAGAAAATTATATTACTTAAATACGACCCTATATACTTGCAAAAATCTATTCCATTTAACGAAGAAAGTCAGGTGGGAAGACGAAAGGATATAGTGGCTTACTCCCCAAGGGTCCGAACCGCTTTTGCACGGCGTCACTGTGCAATTCAATCAATCTACACTTATAATAAGATAAACGTAAAATTAAAGTTCCAGCATGAAGTACACGTATGCAAAAAGGTAATAAGTGAATGGTTAAAGACCTTAACATACGAGGAAACTGAACCAATTTTAGATAAATATAGTTAAAAAATATTTTTATTTATTTCTTATCAATAATGTATGTACTTACCGAGTTTAATCTATTAATTGCGCTTCCAACAACAGAAATCCTGTTTAAAAACATGAAGCACTTACATTTCCACATAGGCGTACGTACAACTACATTTACACAAAGAGCTGATTTATTTATTTATTTATTAGTTTATAAGTCACTTACTATTATTTTTTCTTCCTAAGTTAATATTTACTTAACTTTTGTAAAATATTCTCAATATTGTTAATAATTAAGGGAAAGAAAAAGATATCCCCAACACAAGTATTATCAATTTCATACTGGAGTTGTTTCATCTATAATCCATGTACATGTTTTGAGACAAATAAACATTTGCATTTTCACTTTAATTCATTACATTTATTAAGACTCGAAATACAGATGCGTTGCCCATCTTGAAGATTAAATAGAATGTCTCGTTACCCGTAAAAGGGTCTTAGGTTTTCGTAACTATGTCATTTAAAACACTGCATCAATATGCTGCTATTTTACGCTGATTTTCTGTGACAGCGTGCTTCTTCCCCGGTCGAGATTATGGTCGCTCAACGTGTACTGTGTGAACTTTATACTTCATTATTTTATATACTATTACGTAATTAATATACTTCTTAATATAAGGACTACCTACTTTTACTAGATGGTACGACTCCTTTTCTGCACAGGAGTATTTCAGGGTATATCCGACCTTACCTATTTCTGCCAACATTAGCAGTGCATGCACTGACTGTCTTAAGGTCTGAAAGGTATAGAGAGCCAGTATAGCTATAGCCTATGAGGCATTCCATCTTCGTTTTAAGTGATGAATTCACATCTGTATCGTTTTCTTGTTTGAAGTTACGTGTACGTGTCCATAGACTGAAGTAGCCACTTCCCATCACGTAGGCTGAAAGTTTGTTGGTCACTTTAGTTTGCAAATAAAATATTGACTATTTTGCCCATGTTTTAAGAAAATTGCTCACTATTTTATAAATTATATATTATCTTTGTTAAATATTTATCCGTTTACTATTCAACACAAGTTGTAAAAATTTAAATGAAATAAAGAAGCTGTGCCAAAAAAATAACTTGCAAGTTTGATAGTTTTTACATCTACATGTACAAAACTTATAACACAAGCGACGTCGCAGACAGCACTCAAACACACAGTGTTTATTTGCATCAGCAGCAAAAACCCGATGCGTATTGTTTCAGCGTCAATTACTGCGCTGGAGTTTTCGGCATCAAATTGCTAAATCTGCCAGAAATTTAACGATGTATAGCTGACAGTGTTAGAATATTTTGTTTTTAGTTATTCCAGCTCTAATTTATACATAAATAAATTAATATAAAAGTCTTATTTAAATCAAACACGGACTAAAATTATGTCATGATCCTATTGAAACTGCACAAGCATTACGGGCAGCATTATATGGATGCCAATTGTTCGAGATCTTCTTTGTCTTCATCGTCCTAAAAACATTCCTGCTCCAATATTATTCAATCTTCAAATATATCAAGCAACTTGCTGCAATCACCTTTATTGACTGACGATCGCAGTATCGGCCATTTCGAACGAACCTTTGGTTTTGCCTTCCGTAGCCTCTTTGAATATTTCATATTTCGAAGGCAAACCTTATTATTTTATGTATTAATTACCAAAATAAAACAGTTCATATCTTATAAAGGTATATTTAATACAAAAACACTACGATTTTTTTTAAATTTTATAATATCGATATTTGCAAGGTGACGGTTGCACAATAAGCCTTATATTTACAATTTACTAATAATGTCCCATTCTAGTTACTACTGAACATACCAGCTGTAGCTGTGGTTTACCAAATACAACATGGCCAATGAAATTTATTATAATGGCGATAAAATGTGTTGACATCAGGTATGTTTGCCAATTTTGTTGGCTATAAAATGATAGTCACTTTGTTGTACATTGCGTTGTATGTTTTATGATACGTGGTAGATCTCATTTATAAGCTATATAAAATGCGCAATTTACTACAAAGTGAATATCGTTTTATTTTCAGCAAGGTTAGCCACTTGACGTGCAGTTATTTTAATGAAATTAGTAAAAGGTAATGAGAGGAAAGTAAGGATGATTCAATAAGTTATATTAAATTTACGAAGTTTGATTGGAAAATGATGAATATGAATACGAAAATTGACATCCTAATCTTAAAGAACATCTATTCTGTAGAAATAGTTTAACATCAAATATGAAAAAAAAGTAGGAAAGAGTTAATTAATTTATTATATACTAAAACATTTTTATAAATAATCTCTGAATAGTTCATGTAAACAATATTAACCTTATTATAATATATGATGAAATTAATTAGGTAGCTAATTTCATACCTGATTTAACTGTTTATTTATCAATAGAATGTACTTTCACAGTTTTCTCATATAAATTTCAATTATATCTGATGATTAAAGTAGGATGGTTAAATGTTTTATAATGCAATGTTTGTCTCAGAACATTTTTATCTAAATACAAACCATACCGTAATTTTATTTTCATTTGCCTTTACGACTTCGTGTGTGACGATAGGGTTTGTGAATTAAATATTAACCATTTTTTTAAAATACTGCCAAAAATGTGTTGTAAAGAGAGCCTGGCGTATAATTTTGAGTAAATATTGATAGCCGTTTTTAATTTTTGTGCATTACTAAGAAGACACTTTTTAATGATTTTGATTTTAGAAATTTTGATGATTTTAGTAAATAAACAAATTTACCGTACCTAAATGATGTTGTGCTTGAATAAGGCCAAATTTACTGCAGACGTACAACAAAATAATGATTAGTTTAAGTATTACTAATTTTGTAGTATATTGCATAATCTTAATAGTTTTTTTAAGAGCTACCACGGCTCATATAACATACTACGCAATGTACTACAAAGTAACTATAATTTTGTTCTCACTATCAATATCAATAGGCTTTTGGTGGTCTACTTTGAATTTTTATTATAGATGTCGTGGCGGAAGCACACTAGTTTTAATTATGAACTTTTTCGTAGTATTCTCCATGCCGGAGCGGCTCCTCCGGTTTTGGTTTTGGTACATATGGATTCTTGAGTGGATCTGCATTTAATCTGAAAAAAAAAACAATTATTGTAGTTAATTAAATAAACAATGTAGAAATAATACCAATGATTATGTGAGATGTTAAACGTCCGTTAAAAAGAGCACTGCTAACATAGGCCGCCCCCATACGCTGTCTCTTATGGAGGATTTTGGAATAGTTGCTACGCTTGACAGGGGGATTGGCAACCGCAGTTTTTGTAATTTTGAGTTTTTATCAGGAAAATGCTGCTGGCCATATCTTGTTTTAGTTCCCATTGTCGCCTCTTACGACACACACGGGACGACATAGGATATTATATTATAATTTTACACGGGTCGAGATATTAGTCTTAGTTGCTCAGGGATTAAGCGCTCGATGTAAATTTCACAGTACGCGAACAACCCAGGTTTGATCACCGCTGGCACCAATGAAATTGTTAATTGCAATTTCAAGTGCTGATTTACCACGTGCTCGGCGGTAAAGAAAAACATCGTGAGGAAACCTACATATCCCAAAAATAGGAAAAAAAATTCAAAGCGATGGTCATTTTCTTGCCCTATTTTTAGGGCAAGAAAATGACGTTCGTAATTTCCTCTCAGAAATGAGAGTGCCCAGCAGTGGAACGTTTATAGACTTTAACTAAATGTTATACTTGTCGGAAATTACGAACAGAGGATCACAATTTTGATCTCGGAAATACATCAGGATAGCGTTAACTGTTAAAAATAATAAAATGTGAGAGCGGATGTTCAACTCGCTCTCTTGCTTACGCAGTTTAATCATTATCAGTAATAAGAAAACGTAACGCTCTATATATTCAGTATAGTGAAATTACAGTTCGACCACACCGTAACACGTCTCCGCCACAATCACACACCAGTGTAACGTGAGGTACGTAATTACATGATAACACCAAAATATGTAAACCAACAGCAACACTACTGATCTCAATGTAACACAGGGCAGCCTCTCAGCAACACTAATCCTACTTGTATGTACTAGAAGAATTACAACAACGAACAAAACCACAACACCTTCTTAGCACTAAGTAGAATGACCACACTCGTTGAATGACTTAAGCGGAATCTCTCGCACACGGCACCTACAGTGAATTTTATAGTCGCTCCGACATATTTGTTATAAGTAGGTTAACTATGTATTTGAATAACTAGAACTAGGTTTAACACACATCTACCTCGCAGTCCATATGGGTAACACACACATAGCTAATTCTGCCGCAAAATAGGAGTACCTGCACTGTTGTGTTTTGGCCTGAAGGGTGTAAGAGAACCACTATAATTACAAGTTGTGAGGCATTCCATTGTATTCCTCAATGGTGACAACACGTCTGTAGCTTTAGTAGTTTGAAGTTGTCTGCAGGTGTTCTTGGACTACAGTAGCCACATAACATTTAGTCTACTATCAGTTTCATTTGTCATTTTAGCTTTATAAAAAAGAACTGATAATACTTACTTATAGTGTTCGATAGCCTGTGAGCAATCTACGTTATACCACCAGTCACAAGCAAATTTAGCTTGATTAAAGAGCGTGCCATTGGTACATAGGAAAGATGCTCCTTGATGTCCCTCGCGACCATCGTGACAAACGTGGTAGGCCTGAATATTAACAGAAAATCAAAATAAGTTTTGCGATTAATAACTATCAGAGCTTTAATATTTATCACAGAGCTTTAATATGATCACAGCTTATTGAAACATGACCTCTATTTGATATTATTGAATGAGTATACATTTAAATACGTAAAATAACAGGAAAACATCTTAACAAACACAACGTGCAAAAGGTTGAGTTTGTTTCACCTCGAAAATGAATAAATTTCTTGTAATTTTTTAAGTTCAAAATTCACAAGAATTTCTAAATTCATCACAATTCATCACAATTCTAAATTCACAAGAAAAAATAGGTACTCAAACGTAGATACTTAAATGTCGTACCTGCCCATCCATTCCATCCATCCATTACAGCCTATTAAAGTCTACAACTGAACATGGGTCTCATCCATACTTTGCCTAATAAGGGGGATTTTGTCATTATTGCCACGCCTGGTAGCCGGGTTATCAAGCAATTATTTAATTAGTTTGATATGTTATCAGAAAGATGGTGCTGCCCATTTTTTGTTTCAATTTCCCTCTATCGCCTATTACGACAACCACGTGACGATATGGGGTAGTGGATATTGTTACATCGCTACTACACGGGTATGCATGCCCATCCCTCGTGTAATATCATAGATGGAGACAAACTAAATACTAACATATCCGTAAGCAAACATTAAGACTTTTGCATGAATGTTGCTGGCCGTGTGGTGGTGGCGAAAGGGAATCCAACACTCTTTTTATTTAAAAACGTTACCTCCACAAGGACAAACATCCAGGCCTGGAACAATTATTTGTAGGCGATTCAAATACTTGTTCCATGCGGGGTTCGACCCACAGCCCCCAGCGCTGCAACCAATTGCTAAGCCACTGCAACACAGAGCTGTCAATAGCTGCCGTTTTTGACTCGTGGGTGTCGTCAGTGGTGACTATGAATAATGTCACATTAATCTCATGACAATCTTCATCTAGTCACTATCTAAAGCCAGATGCAAAATAGTTAGACCGACGACGGTACGTCAAAGACGCGAAATATCTGGTACAGCGTACTATGGGTACTATTGCAATTTCTGTCCTTTAACAGGAGAGCGCAGCTGTAGACTTTTATGTGCTCATGAAGAAGAACTATCTTCTGTTCAGAATTCAACGAGTATCTCGCTAAATATTAGAACAGTCATCACTGGGCCAAGCGGTCGATTTTTAATCATGTAATAAAGATCTCCGCTGTGCAATTATGTAATCCTGGTGGTAATCATGACTGGTTTCGTTTTGAGGTTCGCCGTTTGGTTTTGATGTATTGTATGTAGTAATTGAAACTCGTTATCTTTTCTAAACATTTTAAGTTACATAATATGATCATAATGAAAAAATCGTTGCGAAGTGCATTGCTTATAGTATTGATGATATTTAGGTTTGTAATTTATTTGATGTTATTTTGTATTTTATCCATAGGCAAAACTTCTAAAATTCCTCGTAAATAAATAAAAACGTTTCAAATAACTTATTATTTTGCGATATTTAAATGTATTTCCTGTAAGAAATGTAATAGGAAATTCACTTCGCGAGATGTTTGGTTTGATAATTAATAAATTGTATTTAAATAAAGCCCTCCAAGTTGTAATTTAAGATTAGAAACCTGTAGTGAGCTGTAAGTAAGTCACGCCAAAGGTAGAATGCTTCTAACTTATTCAATTTGAAGTTACTCCTGAGCCGTAGAATTTAAGCGGCTTGCAAATTTTCCATTTGAGTGCTTATTCTAAACAGCGAATTAATTTACTTTCAATTACTTATATATAAGTTAAATATAACATTGATTTTTTTGATTCATGAATGGACAAACAGGACAACTATTGTACGTAATATATTACGACAACCATACATAATAAGAAGATGAGATCTATCACTTCTTAGTGTAGAGATCTAAGATATACTTTGTATAATATTTTAACTTCTACCCGTACGTACGTACGTACCATCCATACAAAGTACCCTCGATCATGTTTCTCTTTAATTTTGATGTAATGCAACATTTTCATTTAGAGTTATATTCCTGCTATCTTGTTGCCATCTAGAGAAAATTGAGTGTAGTACATGAACGAAGTAGGAGTATAGGAGTATAGGAGAAGTAGCATACTTCTGCGTGGCATTGATATTTACCAATTTTTTTTATTCACAGCATAAAATTTTTCTACCAATATTACCTACTAATTTCAATTTTTTTTTACCTTACGACCGACTTGAAGGTCAAGGGTATCATGAATTTATCAATAATTGCCATGTGTAAAATAGGGTGCACATTATTCATTTGAACTCGTTTTTAATTGCATTATTTATTTTTCAAAATTAAAAAGTAAGGAAAATTCAATTTCAAAATTACAAAATGAAATATATTATCTATACACTTACAATGAGGTACATACAATGAAACTCATTTGTACCGATATCGTTGCGGTGACCACTAATTTTGGACCCACCCAGTACCACGTCTCCCCACCATTTGAAATGAATGCCTCATAGGGCGGATCTATGAGGCAACCTATGGAGGTCTATGTTCAGCAGTGGACTTAAATAGGCTGTAATGATAAGGTTAACGGCACCACATAATCAGCAGTAAATGCACTTACGACCACTAGACCAACAAGGCAGCCAAAAATACTGATTTGAACTTTATGAGAATAAATGTCTTAAACCTAACTGAGTTAATATATTGTATTTGGTTAATTTTAGATGCTACTAACACCTAATTTGAATCTATGTAACTTGACGTTTAATACAGTTAGTATATATACATCGCACGTCTGGGCTCAGGCATCCCTCAATTCTGACTGCTTTAGGGCAAGCTCACATTTCTTCGAAATATTTTTATACCTGACATCCAGTTTCTACGTTTGCGTACATTCCAGGGTGTACTGGAACATGATTACAAGAAAAACTTGTTTCAGGAACTTCGTGATAAATTGGATAATCCACACCCGGCACTCCTGGCACGTTGCGCAGGTCCTGCGGCTTCTCGTGTTCCCTCAGTGGCTTGCGATAGACAGCTTGCTCATACTGTTCCGGATATGTATCATGATCCTGTAATTAGAAAAAATAGTTCATCATCATCAACATCATTACAGCCCTTCACAAGTTCAATGCTGAATATATGCCTCCTCCAAAGAATGCCACAAAACACGGTCTTGAGCCACCCGCATTCATCAACTTCCTGCATATCTTGCCAGGTCGTCACGGCATCTAGTGGTGGGCGGGCTCACACTTTGCCTACTAGTACGAAATGAAATTATTAGTATTTTATAATTTTAAATACTGCAAATAATGAAGTGTGAAGATGGGAAGACATCATAACCTAGAACATGACTGATGGGAATTTGTTTATAGTAATGAACATGTTGCAAGACTTTTTTTTATAGTATAGGGTGACAAAAGAGCACACAGACCACCTGATGGTAAGTGTTTGCTGTGGCCCATAGACATCTACATCTATCCTCGTTTGCGAATCAAAATGCAGATGCGTTGTCACCCGTGAGGACTAAGATGGAATGCCTCTTTTCCAGTAAAAATGGTCTCCGGTTCTCTACACTCACCATACGAAGCACAGCAGTGTTAATCCGCTATTTTATGCTGGTATTCTGTGAGAGCGTGGTCCTTCCGCGGTCGAGCCGACCCATTCGTGCTACAACTATACTACTAATATAGCTGCAGCATGGCTCTACCACGTAAAGACTTCGATTTCGATTAAGAAAAGCTAAATTCAAATGCTAAAAAGAAAAAAAAAATACATAGAAGTCGATTATATGCCATAAAATATAGAATAAATAAAGCCACGTCTTCAGAGTGTGAAATATTATTTTTTAGCTATTTGAAGTCGGCTTTCATTTTTTATTAAAAGTTAATTTTTTATCCTTTTTTATAAGACTACAGAATATTACAACCTCAATATCGTCTAAATAGTTCCATCGAAATCTTAATCATCTACTTTAGTTTTTAGGGTTCCGTATCCGAAGAGTTACCAACGGGACCCTATTACTAATCCTCCACTACCCGTCTGTCTATCTATCAGCGAAGTGTATCTAATGATTCGTAACAGGTATACAGTTGAAATTTTCACACAATGTGTTATTCTGTTGCTGCTGTAACAAATAATATATATACAAATAAATTGAAAATCAAAAGGGGCTCCCCTACTAGAAACGTGGTGTGGTGCGGTACCCTTCATGCGCGAGTCCGATTCACACTTGGCCGGTTTTTATTCTTGAAATATATATAGAACGTATTTATACGTGGTAGAGCCGTACTTCAGCTATATTAATGGTATAGTTGTAGCACGAATGCGTCGGCTCGACCAGGAAAGGACCACGCTCTCACAGAATACCGGCGTAAAATACCAGCTTAATGCCGCTGTGTTCCGTTCGGTGAGTGTGGAGAACCGGAGACCCATTTTACTAGAAAGGAGGCATCCATTCCATCTTAGTCCTCATAGATGGTGATGTCTATGGGTCACAGCAACCACTAACCATCAGGTGGACTGTGTACTCGCTTGCCACCCTTATCCAAAAAAAAAGAACAAAACCTGAAGTATAACGTATTTAACAAAAAAATATCATTAATATCGGTTTACACTCGGCGAAGATATTGCTTACCATAGATACAGAAAATAAATATAAAGTCGATTTGTAAACCTTTTAGGAAGTCAGCTAAAAATAAGATTAGCTCTAGCTAAAATAAACTGTTCAAAAGTTAATAAATCGAGGTTAAGCCAATAAATAATAGCCATTCACTCAAAGCGGGTCAATAGATTAGGAAATTCGCGTGTTCATTATGTAACATTTGAGTAACATTCTACAGGTACGTGTTTATTATAAAGTTCGGGCTAAACGGTTCATTTATGGTATTTTTAGTTACTGTTTTAAGATGATTTAATGTAACATAGTAAATATATGAAATTGATTTAATGAATCTCCGCAAATTGTGGTAATTAATAAACATTTTTAAGCAAACTCAGAGCTTAAACTAAAAACAGGTTTTTGTGAGATCATGAAAATACTTAAACTTTGTTATCTTTTAGAAACATTACTTAGACATATGTTCAAAAGTGGAATTTTGATACACTGTAATTAATGAATTGTAAGATTGTTTAAAGTAAATGTGTCATAAAGTCATGTGATTTCATCTTGACGATTTTCAAAATCTGACATATCATGCTCACTAGATGAACTTGATGAACTAGACGAAGACGACGAAAAGGACGAAGTGGATGATCAGAATTTAGTTTGCATTTTGTAGGATGCATGTTAGTATCATATCATAGACACGATTGTTAACAAGGTCAACTAATAGTCGCCCTCGGAATGCTTGAAATGATAAATTAAATTTCATATTTTTAAATAAACTTCAAAAACAAACCCGGTGTTCATTGCAATAATAAAATAAATTAAAATAATTCTGTAAGTTTAACACATATTTCAGTAATAACGACAGAATACTAAATGTTACATGTAGTGTTCAGTCCTAAAATTAATAAATTATCGTTTAATAAAGTCATTGCTACAAATAATACATAAACTTTCAAATATTTTAAACAATTACGTCACATTGCTTCATAATATTACTAAACATTACATATTTTAAATTGCATAAGGACACAACACAAAACAACCACATTTTGTTAAAATATTTATTTAAACATTGTTCTCACAATTTGTTGCAAATTTCGCACCAAATGTGACGTCCTTACGCAGTACAGCTCACGTGTCTTTGTTTATTAATTTAGATAGAATGTTATTGAAATAAAAATTATAATCACTAGCAAAAACGTGCAATTACTAAACTTCTCGCCATCTCGCGACCTAACAAGAAAATAAGTTAAAAAAAATAAAATTTGTCCTTATTGCACCAAAAATATACCGTTATAAGAATGTTTTTATTATAAATTCGTTAAAAGTCATGATTTTGAGAAATGACGTTCTTGCAATAAGAGAGCGAAGTGGTAATATTGTAAAATTAAAAATTTTGTACAATCGACACTTCAATATAAATTATTAAGGATAACTCAAAAACTTCTGATCTGACCTTCATAAATTTACAAGGAACCACATGAGAAGCACCAGCTTTAAAATAAAAATAATTAATAAAATCGGAAAACCTAGAAAAAAATTATGAGTCACATAAAAAAGAAAAAAATATAGTCAAATTGAGTATCTCCTTCTTTTTTAAATCGGTTAAAATACGAGTATAAGTTAAATGCCCGTGAACAAACATTGAGACTCGCGATGATTATTTATAGGACATCACAATTAATCTGTGCGGGAATTGTACTGTTATATTCGGAACTAAGTGCTGTATTAATCCTAATACGCTTAATTAACAAACCGATTATTCTTAGAACATCGTGGGTTATATTAGAGATACTCGGGTATATCTATAGCAGTCTCGGTCCAAGAACATCAATACAACGCGGCCAGCAGTCAGGCATATACAGAAATGTTTACATTTCATTATAATATATTATACTAGAATTTAGTACTAAATATTCCATTGACCACTGAGATGCAAAAATGTCATAGTCAAAGTCAACTTAACTATGAAAGATAAATAAAATACACTCAAGAAAGTGGGAGCAAATACACAACACGTGGCTAACCTTGACTTAATTCCACTTTCCTTTGAGCTTATATAACGTTATGAATTCATTAACGGTAAACATACCACATATGTAGGTACTTGCATTTATATTATAATATCAATATACTTGTTCGCGCAGTTTAGTGTTAAATGATTTTTTTGTATAGGATAAGGCTAACAAACGAGTTGTGTACTCCTTCGTCTCAACTCAGCAGTACAAGCACTGCTATTTATTGTAATATGATGTTTTTATAGAATAGGAGTGACAAACAAGCACACAGTGCACTTGATGGTAAGTGATTGCTGTGGCCCATAGACATCTGCATCTATCCTCGATTACAAATCAAAATGCACATGCGTTGTTACCCGTGAGGACTATGATAAAATGCCTCGTTTCTAATAAAAAGTGTCTCCGCTTCTCATTATGCCGCTGTTTTATGCTGGTATTTTGTGAGAACACGGTCCATCCTCGGACGAGCCTAGCCATTTTTGCTTATATTTATTCTAAATGGGATATAATAAATGTTGTATTCGTTTGTTTTTTATTCTTTAAACATATGAACTATGTTTAGGATTTAGGTATTTAAGTGAGTTCATTAATATTTTCATTTGGATGATTCTTTTTTTTTCAATTCCTGGAAAGCGCCTACAATTATTTATTGTGAGACGCATTATTATAAAAAAGGGAGTTTTTTTCATTAATGTCTACACGATTTTGTTGTTACTGCCTTAATGGATTTAGCATTATTTCTTATGTTATAATATTAATAACATGATTCTGAATAATGCTGCATGTATTTTTATATAAATATAAAAAGTTAAATTCATTAATATTGTCTTGGTTGGTACGTGTTGAAGTGATGGCGCAGTTTTCTTTAATTTATTAATATGATTTTTAAAACCTATTTTGAAAAAAATATTTTGAATTTGAAAATTATACGTATGTACCCTATTCTAAATTCACAATTAATCATAAGTTTGCAGCATTTTACACATAGACAAAAGCCTCTCTCAAGACGCATCGCTTACACTAAACTTTGACTTCACTTATCTAGTTACAACTATGTCTAAGCACGTTTTCTATTCTATAGCAGCGCGTTTTATCCAAAGAATTATGAAAACACAGTTAACTTTATCTTATTTTTAGCCGAATTCAAAAAAGGAGGATGTTTTTATGTATATTCGGGCATAGCTTCGACATATTAACACTGCCTGCTTAACACTTATGTGTTTCGTATAATGAGTGTAGAGAACCGGAGACCCTTTTTACTGGAAAAGGCATTCGATCTTAGTCCTCACGGGTGACAACGCATCTGCATTTTGATACTTTATTGAGGATGGATGTGGATGTCTATGGGTTACAGCAACCAATTACCATCAGGTTAACTGTGTGCTCGCTTGTCACTCTATCATATAAATATATATATTTGCAAAATTCTTTTTGTTCGAAATAA